CATAAAAAATAATTTTATTAATGATATTTTAATAAATTTATAAAACAAATTATATTTTTAATGTGCAATTCATCTTATAAAAGACTTTTTATATAAAAAAATATAAAGTTGTTTAGTAATATTAAAACTATTTATTTCTTATTTTTCTAATAATAGTAATACTATTTGAAAAATAAATAAAAATAAATATATTATTTTGTTTAAATTTATAAAGTTTATAAAAATTAAAATTTAAAATTTAAAATCATAATCATATCATATGAGTATATGATTGACTGTGCGTTGAGTGACAGAAGGATGAAAAAATTCTAGTGTACCGTAAAAATAATCAAAAAAATAATTGGACATAAAGGACAAGTATTTGATAATATGCTTGGTCCCTCTATTAAGTTTTTTTTTTTAAATTATATAATAAAATGTAATCATTTCCGACCACTTAATTCACTTTAATTATCTGTTATTTAATTCAAATTTCAAATTTATTACTTTCATTTTTTGAAAATTCCTACTAACATAATTAAGTCGTTAGCGGTTCGTCTATTAAGTTTTCATCCACGTGGTAGTTACTTTTGACAGAAGGATTTTATCTTGTTTGCAATTTTGGTTCATCTACTTGCATCAAATTCACACTTTAGTTTTTTTACTTCTTATTTTTTCAATTTGGTCCCCAATTTAACTTTTCTTCTTGTAATTTGGTCTCTAAACTAGAAAAAAATTTTGCAATTCAATATATTTCTAAATTCTTACATTTGAGTCCTTCATTTCATTAAAAAACAATAAAAGTAACATAAAATAAAATAAAAAATCACAATAATCTCTTTCACAATAACCTCGTTGTTCTCTCTAATCTACCTCCTTTCTCTCTCTTTGTCCTTGAATAAAAAATTTTAATTTTGTACTCATAGTTGGAAATTGCAGCCAATCTAGTGCCCTTATTTACGTATTTTCATTTTGACGGATGAACACTGCTATATAGTTCCACGATATCTAAGCAAACGACACCGTAGAACACCGTAAAACCCGTCAAAAGCCTCTGGCATTTGCCACTGCCCTTTCTCACTCAGAACGAAAATGGCTTCCATCTCTATATACATACACACGACCTGTTTTGCTCGCTCCAGAGCCCAGAGGCACTTCCCGAGGCGAAACCCCAACTCCAAGTTTAGGCCTAAAAGGACTGCCAAGTATAAACGCCTCTCGTCCTCTGCTCCTTCTTCCGGGGGGGGAGGGAATGTGTATGTCGAGGTGGATGCAGCTATGAATTCTCAGTTGCCTTTCCGGAATGGGATGCATTTTAGGACGGGGAGAGGAGGGCACGGCCAAGAGAGAGGACATGGTGGTGAAGCTGGCGCCCAGGACTGTGATCAGAGAGGCAGGGAGGAAGGTTTTGTTGGTGCTGTTGTATCCTGAACAGAGGACACTGCTACTTCGTGGTGGGAGAGGTGGCGGAGGAAATGCCTCATTTAACTCTGGTACCAATAAGGTCCCCAGGTTGGCTCAGTATGGCAAAAATGGTCCGTAAATGTAAGTCCTTTTCTATCTCAATATAAAATTGTTGATCAATTCCCTTCTTTTATGTTGCCCTTATGTGGTATGTAAATGATAGCTGTAACTGAAGCCAATGTTTTCTTGTTTCTCTTCCCTGAGTAATTTGACCTATAGGTTTGGTGCATGTATCAGAGACAATGTTTAATAAAGTTTAAACTTTAAATCTCCCATTCATGTAAAAGTTCTATTCCTTTATGCTAATTCTCTTGCTATTTGCGGATCACTGATCTTTTCTTCTATTGTACGCACTAGGAATAATGGTATTCTTGATCAGGTGGTTGGAATTGGATAAGTGCTAAATCTGGTTGCCATCTTTGTATGGTGGGTGCTCCTAAAAGCACTCTACTGAGTGTGATAAGTGCTGCTTAGCCAGCAATACCTACTTATCCTTTTACAATTTTACTCACCAATTTGGGTGTAGTTTCGTTTGATTATGATTCCACTATGGTCATAGATGGTCTACCTGGTTTACTTGAAGAATAACGATTTTTGAAAATTCAATTGAGAATATAAATGTGATTTACTCTTATTCAACTAATTAATTTTCATCTTCTAAAGCTTATCATCTCCAATTTGAAATGCTATTTTTTTGATGCAATCCACTTGTAATAGGTATTGTTTTTTACTTTCTGTTGTCTTATTGATAGAAGGTAATATCAAAAATCTAACTCTAGCTATAACCGAGTGCTGACCTTAATCTGATATATGTTTTCTGTTTTGTAGATACATGTTTTTGACAGTTACTCTCAACAGCAAGAATTTGTGTTTGACGCTAAAAATAGCCAAATAAATCTCAAACACCACGGGGAATTAAATAGAAGAGAATACAAAATTTACGTAGAAAATCCTCCAATGTAGAGAGAAACCAGGGACAAAACGGCAAAAAATCCACCATTAAAATGAATATTACAACGACTGTTTCTTAAGATCTTTAGCAGACCTAAAATCTAAAGCAATTAAAAAAAAAAAACTCTCCAAGGTCACAATTGTTACTTAATCAT